GGGAAGAGAGGAGGGGGAAGGAGAGGAAGGGGGGAAGGAGAGGAAGGGGGAAGGAGAGGAAGGGGGGAGGAGAGGAAGGGGGGAAGGAGAGGAAGGGGGGAGAGAGGAAGGGGAAGGAGAGGAAGGGGGAAGGAGAGGAAGGGGGAAGGAGAGGAAGGGGGAAGGAGAGGAAGGGGGGAGGAGAGGAAGGGGGGAGGAGAGGAAGGGGGGAAGGAGAGGAAGGGAAGGAGAGGGAAGGGGGGAAGGAGAGAAGGGGGGGAAGGAGAGGAAGGGGGGAGGAGAGGAAGGGGGAAGGAGAGGAAGGGGGGAAGGAGAGGAAGGGGGGAGGAGAGGAAGGGGGGAAGGAGAGGAAGGGGGAAGGAGAGGAAGGGGGAAGGAGAGGAAGGGGGGAAGGAGAGGAAGGGGGGGAAGGAGAGGAAGGGGGAGGAGAGGAAGGGGGGAAGGAGAGGAAGGGGGGAGGAGAGGAAGGGGAAGGAGAGGAAGGGGGAAGGAGAGGAAGGGGGGAAGGAGAGGAAGGGGGGGAAGGAGAGGAAGGGGGGAGGAGAGGAAGGGGGGAGGAGAGGAAGGGGGGAAGGAGAGGAAGGGGGAAGGGAGAGGAAGGGGGGAAGGAGAGGAAGGGGGGAAGGAGAGGAAGGGGGGAAGGAGAGGAAGGGGGGGAGGAGAGGAAGGGGGGAAGGAGAGGAAGGGGGGGAGGAGAGGAAGGGGGAAGGAGAGGAAGGGGGAAGGAGAGGAAGGGGGGAAGGAGAGGAAGGGGGGGAAGGAGAGGAAGGGGGGGAGGAGAGGAAGGGGGGAAGGAGAGGAAGGGGGGGAGGAGAGGAAGGGGAAGGAGAGGAAGGGGGAAGGAGAGGAAGGGGGGAAGGAGAGGAAGGGGGGAAGGAGAGGAAGGGGGGAGGAGAGAAGGGGGGGAGGAGAGGAAGGGGGAAGGAGAGGAAGGGGGGAAGGAGAGGAAGGGGAAGGAGAGGAAGGGGGGGAAGGAGAGGAAGGGGGGAGGAGGAGGGAAGGGGGGAAGGAGAGGAAGGGGGGAAGGAGAGAAGGGGGGAGGAGAGGAAGGGGGAAGGAGAGGAAGGGGGAAGGAGAGGAAGGGGGGAAGGAGAGGAAGGGGGAAGGAGAGGAAGGGGGAAGGAGAGGAAGGGGGGAAGGAGAGGAAGGGGGGAGGAGAGGAAGGGGGGAAGGAGAGGAAGGGGGGGAGGAGAGGAAGGGGGAAGGAGAGGAAGGGGGAAGGAGAGGAAGGGGGAAGGAGAGGAAGGGGGGGAGGAGAGGAAGGGGGAGGAGAGAAGGGGGGGAGGAGAGGAAGGGGGAAGGAGAGGAAGGGGGGAAGGAGAGGAAGGAGGGGAAGGAGAGGAAGGAGGGGAAGGAGAGGAAGGGGGGGAGGAGAGGAAGGGGGAGGAGAGGAAGGGGGAAGAGAGGAAGGGGGGAAGGAGAGGAAGGGGGGGAGGAGAGGAAGGGGGGGAAGGAGAGGAAGGAGGGGAAGGAGAGGAAGGGGGGAAGGAGAGGAAAGGGGGGGAAGGAGAGGAAGGGGGGAGGAGAGGAAGGGGGGAGGAGAGGAAGGGGGGAGGAGAGGAAGGGGGGGGGGGGGGGGAAGGAGAGGAAGGGGGAGGAGAGGAAGGGGGGAAGGAGGAGGGGGAAGGAGAGGAAGGGGGAAGGAGAGGAAGGGGGGGAGGAGAGGAAGGGGGGAGGAGAGGAAGGGGGGAAGGAGAGGAAGGGGGAGGGAGAGGAAGGGGGGAAGGAGAGAAGGGGGGAAGGAGAGGAAAGGGGGGGAAGGAGAGGAAGGGGGAAGGAGAGAGGGAAGAAGGGGGGGAAGGAGAGGAAGGGGGGGAGGAGAGGAAGGGGGGAAGGAGAGGAAGGGGGAAGGAGAGGAAGGGGGGAAGGAAGAGGAAGGGGGGAAGGAGAGAAGGGGGGAGGAGAGGAAGGGGGGGAGGAGAGGAAGGGGAAGGGGGAAGGGGGAAGGAGAGGAAGGGGGGAAGGAGAGGAAGGGGGAAGGAGGGGGGGGGAGGGAGGGAAGGGGGGGGAAGGAGAGGAAGGGGGGGAGGAGAGGAAGGGGGGAGGAGAGGAAGGGGAAGAGAGGAAGGGGGAAGGAGAGGAAGGGGGAAGGAGAGGAAGGGGGGAAGGAGGAGGAAGGGGGAGGAGAGGAAGGGGGGGAAGGAGAGGAAGGGGGGGAAGGAGAGGAAGGGGGGGAGGAGAGGAAGGGGGAAGGAGAGGAAGGGGGAAGGAGAGGAAGGGGGGAGGAGGGAAGGGGGAAGGAGAGGAAGGGGGAAGGAGAGGAAGGGGGGGAAGGAGAGGAAGGGGGGGAGGAGAGGAAGGGGGAAGGAGAGGAAGGGGGGGAGGAGAGGAAGGGGGGAAGGAGAGGGAAGGGGGGAAGGAGAGGAAGGGGGGAAGGAGAGGAAGGGGGAAGGAGAGGAAGGGGGAGGAGAGGAAGGGGGAAGGAGAGGAAGGGGGGAGGAGAGGAAGGGGGGAAGGAGAGGAAGGGGGGAAGGAGAGGAAGGGGGGAAGGAGAGGAAGGGGGAAGGAGAGGAGGGGGGAGGAGAGGAAGGGGGGGGGGGGGAAGGAGAGGAAGGGGGGAGAGGAAGGGGGGGGGGGGGAAGGAGAGGAAGGGGGGAAGGAGAGGAAGGGGGGAAGGAGAGGAAGGGGGAAGGAGAGGAAGGGGGGAAGGAGAGGAAGGGGGGAAGAGAGGAAGGGAAGGGGGGGAAGGAGAGGAAGGGGGGAGGAGAGGAAGGGGGGAAGGAGAGGAAGGGGGGAGAGGAAGGGAGGAGAGGGGGGAAGAGAGGAAGGGGGAGGAGAGGAAGGGGGAAGGGAGGAAGGGGGGAAGGAGAGGAAGGGGGAAGGAGAGGAAGGGGGGAAGGAGAGGAAGGGGGAAGGAGAGGAAGGGGGGAGGAGAGGAAGGAGGGGAAGGAGAGGAAGGAGGGGAAGGAGAGGAAGGGGGGGAAGGAGAGGAAGGGGGGGAAGGAGAGGAAGGGGGGGAGGAGAGGAAGGGGGAAGGAGAGGAAGGGGGAAGGAGAGGAAGGGGGGAAGGAGAGGAAGGGGGGAAGGAGAGAAGGGGGGGAAGGGAGGAGGGGGGGAGGAGAGGAAGGGGGGAAGGAGAGGAAGGGGGAGGAGAGGAAGGGGGGAAGGAGAGGGAAGGGGGAAGGAGAGGAAGGGGGAGGAGAGGAAGGGGGGAAGGAGAGGAAGGGGGGAGGAGAGGAAGGGGGGAGGAGAGGAAGGGGGGAGGAGAGGAAGGGGGGGAAGGAGAGGAAGGGGGGGAAGGAGAGGAAGGGGGGGAGGAGAGGAAGGGGGGAAGGAGAGGAAGGGGGAGGAGAGGAAGGGGGAAGGAGAGGAAGGGGGAAGGGAGGGAGGGGAAGGAGAGGGGGGGAAGGAGAGGAAGGGGGAGGAGAGGAAGGGGGGGAGGAGAGGAAGGGGGGAAGGAGAGGAAGGGGGAAGGAGAGGAAGGGGGGAAGGAGAGGAAGGGGGAAGGAGAGGAAGGGGGGGAAGGAGAGGAAGGGGGGGAGGAGAGGAAGGGGGGGAAGGAGGGAAGTTGAGACGAGAGGTAATGGGGATGCGCCATAATCGCCCTGGAGTCGCTCAGCGCCTGCTCGCGGAGGGAGGGGGGAGGGGGAGGGGGAGGGGGAGGAAGCGCAGAAAGGGGTTGGACCCGAGGTGGAGGAAGCAGTGGTAGAGCGGATGACCAGGGAGTGGAGACGTGCGAGGCAAGCGACATGGATTCCGGCATGCCTGGCGGACATTGGCCGGGTCAGGGACTCGTCTCACAAAAAGAAAAAGAAAAAAAAGAGGCGCCTAAAAAATCGTCCCATGGCGGAGATTGGCCGGGTCCGGGACGCGTCCCTCTGAGAATCCCAGAGACCGGAAAGAAACTAGCCATGGCACGGCCACATGACACGGAAACCCAGCTCCGGAACCTCCCTGCAGTGCAGCCCCGCGCGCCTGACCTAAACTCCAGTACCTCGCGCTGGGAAGCGTCAAGAGCGCTTGCGAAGTCTATGTTTGAGGCGCCTCAAAAATGGAAACGAGCGCTGGACAGCGTCAAGAGCGACCCCTCAGCACAGGGAATCCATTAACCTCCGCAGCATATTTTTCACTTCTCGGCTTGTAAACCGTTAACTGTCGGCTGGAACCGGTGTTACGTGTTGTACTCCCCAGGCTCGTTGTACAGCCTGAGGATTTTTCGTTTCCCGCCTGCAATTCTATTGGTGCACCTCTCTCTGCAGCCTGCAGGAGGCGGTAGTAGCTGTTGGACTCGCGCAGCTTCCTCGTACATACACCTGAGGGCTCCCTTGCTATCGACCTGGCTTCTCTCTGCGCAACCCTGCTAGCATGCTACGGCGCGAGCATGCGACCGTGCGACCGTGCGACCATGCGACCATGCGACCGTGCAACCGTGCGTACCTCTCGCTGCAGGAAGCGGTTGTACGTGTTGGACTCGCTCAGCTTCTTGTTGAGCCGCGACCGCATGGCGATGACCTGACGGCGGCCGCACGGGAAAGGACGGAAGGACATCTTAGACGAGAGAAGAGGGCGTCGAGAAGACGAGAGGTGGACCAATAGGAAGAAGGTGTGGTCAGAAGAGACTTTTGAGTCAACTCAAAAGTCACCTCGTAACAATAGGAAGGTGTGGTCAGAAGAGACTTGTTTTGAGGCGCCTCAAAACTAGGTGTGGTCAGAAGATGAACCAAGATTCACGAAAAGAAACATAATGGATGCCACTAACCGCCATGCGTGATGCGTCAACCGTGGCGAAAAAAGGAGCCCATTTGACTGAACGATTCGTACCTCGGTACGAGGCACCATTGTTCTATCAGCGGGCGCCGCGAGGTTAGGCGACGAAATCGCCTTGGGTATCAAGCCCTCCAGGTCACTCTCCGCGTCTTGCGGCGGCTGCGCCGGCGTCGGTCGCAGCCACGGCATCTGTCGCGCGACAGACGGCGGAAGACCGTCGACAATTGGCGCATCGGGAGCCACGGCGGCGGCTTTATTCGAGAGGTCGTTCTCAGGGTTGTTCGCGAAGTCGCTGTAGCGGGGGGGCTTGACGGGCGGGGGAGGGGAGTCCGCGCGCGGGGAGTTCGCACGGGGAGGTCGGCCCGTTTCGTTGGCAAGCTTCTTCACGAGATTCGAGAGGTCCTGCAGTTCGCCTGGCAGTTTCGCGAATTCGCTGGAGGAGTACTGCGACTTTCGCGAGCCCTCGGAGATCGCCGAAACGACGCTGCGACGGGAGACTTGGTGCAGCTTCGGTGAGGGGAATGAGTGAGTCGCCGTGCGTCGCGAGAGAGGGCGAGCTTCGTGTGAATTGGAGAGGAGGAATGCCGACCCGGTTGGAGAACACCTTGTTAGAGTCTCCATGGCTGACCTAATAGGCTTCTCTTTCGCAAGCGAGCGTGCTCACACGAGGGAGGAAATCCTTACAAGTATAAGGATACGAAGCAGCGCGAGTTTTTCACTGATACAGCAGCTGGATTACGGGCTCACAATCTCTCTCGCAGGCGACTTGGCGGAGAACGGAATGGCGGATGCAAGAGCAGCAACCAGCTGAAGTTGAGTTGAGAAACGACTACAGCAAATTGTGTCTGGTGGTGGTACTTGGGGAAAGACCCAACATCCAGATGAACAGTCAGGCGAGTGTGCGGCGAGCTGTAACATGATGACGAGCTTTGACGAACACATCAGTGTTGCACGAATATTCGAGAAGGGATGAAATCAAGGTAAGTCGCACATGCACCTGGAGTGACCTTGCGCGCCGAGTGAATTTGCGATGTGGGGACCGCAAACAAACCACGTGTAACGTCGAAAGGCTGGTCCAGGTTCCTAACGAAATCTCCATCGATCCTGGAAGCAGCTGAAGGCATAAAACCACCAAATTGGCGCCACGTCAGTAAAAGAGGCCTGGCCCAAGGGTCCATCGCAGGGCCGTTCTCGTGGTGAAACTAGTGGCCCAAAGAGATTTGCCTTGCTATCAGGCATGAGGAAACCGGCATACACGTCATCGTGACTCGGTCAAGCAACTCTCCCTTCCACTGGCTTTCCTGCACCGCTGGCATTTACGCCCCCCATACCGCCATTCGCGCTAATGCAAATTTCCGTGCTCGTTTCGTTTCAAGTCTTGACCTGTAACAAGAACCTCGCACCGAGGGTCCTTACGCTTTTATCACTCTTTTGAGACCTCAGGTTTTTGAAGGAAATCATGTGGCCTGAACTTTAGTAAATCACCTCAAAACTCCAATAAAGCCTGCCAGCGTCGGGCCGCGAGGTCATACCACCAGCAAGTTTTGGAGCTGCAGAACACCTTACAGTCAGGCATGGAAGCTTAGGCATCGACCATTTCAAAAGCACAGAAGTGCAGGAGCCGCAAGAAATGCTCGGAATCTGAACGGGAAGTGCAAGAGCCGCATGGAGGAGGTCGAATTCATGACGATTCCCCTTTCGTGTAAGCTGCCGTCGCGAAGCTGGTACGGCATGACACGGTTAGGCTCGTGGCGAGCTTGGCTCTCTAGGCTCAATAGTTAATTGGATCTCCCAGGCGCATGTGCATGAGATTCGGAATCTCATCCAGTCCTTTGAATTCCCAGTCATTCCTGCCACTTTTTCCCACCTCTTCACTTCCATTCTTCCTTCATCCCCTTAACCAAAGGGCGCGAAAGTTCCGGGGAGCTTCGCGTCCATGAGTCAGCTGACGGCATCTCGAGAGGGCTCGCTGACGTCATCGTCAGAACTGCTGAGGCGAGGCGGGAGCAGAGCTGACCTACACCCGTGTCGCGCAATAATCTCCCTTCGTTACCTGTGGCATATGATGGGCCCTCGTGTTTGAGTCTTCACGGGATCGCATGTTGCCTTCACCGCTCGCTTCACTCACACCCTTCCGTCTCCTCACATTTCATTCTTCTTACTCCCCCATCCATCCCGCCCATCCATTCCCCCCATCCCTCCCCCCCATCCCTCCCCCGCATCCCTCCCCCCCATCCCTCCCTCCCATCCATCCCCCCCATCCATCCCCTATCCATCCCCCATCCAGGCGGCCATAGCAGCACATGGCCACTTCTGCATCGCCATTTCAGGGGGCTCCGTCGTCAAATGCCTCGGGTAAGGATTGGCATGCATGCATCATGCACGGTACCTCTTCCGCCTTGTTCTGGTGTGCTCCTAAGACTGATTAAAGTGCTTCAAGGCTTCTGGTAGGTCAATGGTGAGCAGATGACATTACCTGGCTGTCTTTCCTTGCTGTCACTATCCAACTAGCCGACTTGCTCACCTCGCTGCCACCCTTCTCCCCTCCGTCCCTCAGTCCGTTTCGTGCGGGCATGAATCCTCTCCGTCCCCCCCGCCTCCCCACCAGCCAGCTGGCGGATCCAGCTGTTGCGGCGCGCTGTGATTGGTCCAGGTGGCACGTGTTCTGGGTGGACGAGCGGGCCGTGCCTCTGACTCACCCCGACAGCAATTACCTCCTGGCGCACGCTCACTGGCTCTCCAAGGTGCTGGGTCGTGCCGCGTTTGCATGCATATTTACTTAACATACATGGTACAACACGCTTGTGCCTGAGACTCACCCCGACAGCAATTACCTCCTGCTGCACTCGCACTGGCTCTCCAAGGTGCCGTGTCTCTCTGCGTATCCATATGAATACAGTGAGAGCGACACGCCATGCTCTCTGCATCTCTCTACTTGCATACATCTCGCAGTAAGCGCGTCCGCCACTCGTCCATCTCTCTCGCATCTCGTCCCTGCTCGCTCTCTTCAGCCAGCACGCCCAATTGGAACGTGCTGCTTGTATTGGAGGCTGCAGCCGTGGGGTCAGGCACAAGCCAGGGCGAACAGTTCTTAAGCCCATTCCGCCTTCCAGCACCACTGACTGGCATTCCGAGGCTGTTGGTGTGCCACACCATGCCATGCCGTGCTCCTATGTTGCGTCCGTGCCTTGTGTGTGTGCCACCTTGTGTCCATACCAGGTGCCCATCCCCGTTGCCAACATTCACACTCTCGACGACTCCCTCCCAGTGGAGGCAGCAGCAGAGGCGTACGAGGGCGACCTGAGGCGGTGTGTGGAGCAGGGCGTGCTGCTCATGCACCCAGGTAGGTTTGTCGGACTTCCTAGCCCTGCTACGCCTTATATTTCTCTGTCTCCAAGTGGAAGCACCAGCAGCAGAGGCGTACGAGGGCGACCTGAGGCACTGTGTGGAGCAGGGCGTGCTGCTGATGCACCCAGGTAGGCCTCCCTCAATCCCATCTGCCCATCCCCTCTGCCCACACTCGCTCACACTCTCCATGATTCTCGCTCAGTCGAAGCAGCAGCAGAGGCGTATAAGGGTGACCTGAGGCGGTGTGTGGAGCGGGGAGCTGTGCAGATGCACCAATTGTAGGCTTGCTGCAATGGGTACATCAGGGCCGTTGGGACATCCGTTTCATTCACCCACCTCACCCTCTTTCGCCCCATTAGCAACCCTCCCATATCCGTGCACCAATCCCCACATCTGAAGCTGCTGCCTGCAACCGTCGCTCTGCTCTCCTCCCTGCCAACCAGCCCACCTTTCCCCCTCTCTACACCCGCCTGTAATTTCTCTCTCCAATTCTTTCCTGCTGCCCTCCTTGACTCTCCATCTACCCACCCTTTCCCCTGCTGCTGCCCTGACCCATCTTGCCCTCCATGCAGGTATACCCTTCCCCAGGTTCGACCTCATCCTTCTAGGGGTCGGACCAGACGGTCACGTGGCCTCGCTCTTCCCCATCGTTTCAACAAGCATTTTTCCTCTGCCCGTTTGGACCTCGTTTTGCCTTGCAGATACACCCTTCCCCAGGTTCGACTTTATCCTTCTAGGGGTGGGGCCAGACGGCCACGTGGCCTCTCTCTTCCCCTCGCATCCCCTCCTCTCCCCCGCCTCCCCCTCCCCCCACTGGTGCCGCCCCCTCTCTGACTCCCCCAAACCTCCCCCCGCTAGAATCACCCTCACTCTACCCGTGCTGCTGGCTGCTGCCGTTGTGGCCGTGGTGGCGATGGGGGAGGGCAAGCGGGAGTTGCTGGGGAGGCTGTTCGAAGCAGGGGGGACGGGGTTTGCTGAAGAGACAGCGCTGCCGGTTAGTCTGGTGTTGCCAAGGGATGGGAGGTTGGTGTGGATGGTGGATAGGGAGGCGGCTGCTGGGTTCTTGGGTCGCTAGTATGTGTGGGTATTGATCCAGTGTTCGAAGCAGGGGGGGCGGGGTTTGCTGCTGGGACAGGGCTGCCTGCCAGCCAGGTGTTGCCAAGGGATGGGGGGTTGGTGTGGATGGTGGACAGGGAGGCAGCTGCTGGGGTCTTGGCTCGTGGGTAATTGACACGCGTGTAGGGTTTAAGTGTAAGGGCACGCGGTTTGCTTGTCTCACCACCACCATACCAGTCTGCTGCCAGATTCGTACCACGCCTTCGCTACACGTCGTCCTGTGGTTTTGTGCTAGCCTCCACCTATCACCTTACACATTGGATTCCACCAATAATAAAAACAATTTATAAATAAACAAACAGCTTACCAGGACAGCTCTCGTAGCTCAGTTGGTTAGAGCGTATGGCTGCTAAACCATAAGGTCGGTGGTTCAAGCCCACCTGGGAGCGTTTATGTCTGTGGAACAGCAGCTGGCTGCTGCCTTCCTGCTCACCTTGTTTTTGCTTGGCTACATGCTGATCCAAATGAATATGGACCTGTCTCAGTCTTGGATATGAGTACCAAGCATGAGATGAGTTGAGATCCCCTGCCAGGAAGCCTGGCCTAATGAAACACTTTCCACGTTTGTCCACCCATGGTATGTGAGGGTTATCTGCGCATGTGCTTGCTGGGGTGCGGGTGAGAGCACAAGTGTTCCAGTGCAGGTTGGTGTATAGAACCCTAGTCTTATCCTCGTAAAGCAGGAGCAGCAGCACATGAGCATGCTCCCTGAAAAGGATCAGTAGTACAGTACCAGTAACTGCACATGCGGTAACCACCACACACTCGTGTTCCTTTTTCGCTGCACAATACGTGCCACACACTTGTGTTCCTTTTTCGCTGCACAATACGCACCCCACACTTATGTCCAGGCCCCTAGATTGCAATTTTTTTTTCTTGATTCAGGAAAAAAACAGGGTTGTTGCTGATACCAGCCCTGATTGCGCAAGATTTTGTATAAGGCATGTCCCGATTTTTCAGCCTTTTTTTAGTGGTCAACTCTGATTCCTCCACAAGGTTTTCTTAGCAAACCCTGAAATTTCAGCTTTGTAACGATCTGTACCCGTTTCCGCCAATGCTTGATTTGGGGGGTCTCCCGAGATTTCTGAGGTTCTTCCCCCCTCTAGGCTGTGTGAGGGCGCTGATTCGCCCTTCGTCAGATGTGAGGCTCGATGGTGCTGGGGGGAGTCTTTCCCCCCTCTAGGCTGTGTGAGGGCGCTGATTTGCCCTTCGTCAGATTTGAGGCTCGATGGTGTTGGTGGCTGTGTGAGCGGACTTCATGGCCCTTCGCCAAATTTTGGGCCAGATGTGTGTTAAGATGAGCTAGCTAAGGGGGGGAAGCCATGTATGGCGAGGAGGTTTTAGGCTAGGAGAGTAATGTCAAGAGAGAAGAAGAAGTGTGAGATTAGAAGAGAGAGGGATACAAGGAGGGAGTTGTACCCTCTATAGTAGGATCCAGCAAGACCTACAAAGCCTACAATTATATACCTATAAAATATAATTTAACACACCCCCTAGGCTTGGTAGTCACAAGCCCACCCCATATGCAACACCTCTAAGCCTAGCACCCCCATACCCTGCAGCAGAGGTGACTGCAGGGAAGCGCTAGGCCTTCTTGAGCTGCGGCGGGGCGGAGCCAGCTGGCGTGGCGAGCTGGGACCGACGCTGCGAGCTGGGACCGACGCGGCGAGCTGGGTCTGTTGGGACCGACGCGGCGAGCTGGGTCCGACGTAGCGAGCTGGATCCGACGCGGCGAGCAGGGTCTGACACGACGAGCTGGGGAGGTGCGGCGAGCTGGAGTGCGGGCTTGTTGCCTGGTGCCTAAACCAGTGCACGGCCCACTGCCGCCCGTGCGCTGACGCGACGATGGCGGCACGACGAAGCCGCCACGTCGAGGCTGCCACGGCAGCGCGACAAAGCCGCCATGGCAGCACGACACGGCCGCCACGGCGGCGCGGAAGTAACGAGAAGGGGGGGGGGGTACGCGGCGAAAGCGTGAGGAGGCGGCCCAGCAGGGCAGACCGCCGGCTCTGAAACCATGTTAAGATGAGCTAGCTAAGGGGGGGAAGCCATGAATGGCGAGAGGGGTTTTAGGCTAGGAGAGTAATGTCGAGAGAGAAGAAGAAGCGTGAGATTCGAAGAGAGAGTTGTAAATGATACAAGGAGGGAGTTGTACCCTTTACAGTAGGATCCAGCAAGACCTACCAAGCCTATAATTATATACCTATAAAATATAATTTAACAATGTGTGCTTTGGAGCCTTGTGATGGTGACAATCCCATTGGCCCCTGCAATCTCGCCCGCCCAACCAAATTCGTGTCTTGCCTCATAATTTTGCCTTGCACGAGTGAATTCGCTATGGAAGTAAGTAGCCACAAAGCTTCGAGAATTCAGAAAAGTTTTCGTAAGTAACACTGTTTGCTCAGGAAAAAAATATCAAATCAGTCATGATTCATGAAAATGTTTTTTTGGGCCAACCTTGAAAAATCAGGGAAAAACTCTGGGAGGATTCTGAGCGACCAGCATGCCTGAAAACCAATCTAGGGGCCTGCTCGTGTCCCTTCCCTCCTCTGCATCATGCGCCATCTGTTTGTCTTAAGGTTGCACATTAGGTCAGTATGTCCCCCATTGCCAACAATGTATAATTTAACAATGTGTGCCTTGGAGCCTTGTGATGGTGACAATCCCATTGGCCCCTACAATCTCACCCACCCAACCAAATTCGTGTCTTGCCTGATAATTTTGCCCTGCACGAGTGAATTCGCTATGGAAGTAAGTAACCACAAAGCTTCGAGAATTCAGAAAAGTTTTCGTAAGTAACGCTGTTTGCTCATGAAAAAGATATCAAATCAGTCATGATTTATGAGAATGTTTTTTTGGGCCAACCCTGAAAAATCAGGGAAAAACTCCGAGAGGATTCTGAGCGATCAGCATGCCTGAAAACCAATCTAGGGGCCTGCTCATGTCCCTTCCCTCCTCTGCAGCATGCGCCATCTGTTTGTCTTAAGGTTGCACATTAGGTCAGTATGTCCCCTCTCTCAAAATAACGCAATGACTAGAATGAGGCATAGGCAGGTTTTGTGCTATGGTACTATACTCTTTATCAGCATGCACCTATCTAGCCTATAATAATATATCCATATATGTTTGACACACCCCCTAGGCTAGACAAGGGGTAGTGCCTGGCACTATCTGTCAAACATATACTTGTATGTTGTTATAGACTACACAGGATTGTGCCTTAGAGAGTACAACCCCCTAGGTTATATTCCCCTTTTATGCCATGGTTCTAGTAATTCGTTAACTTTGATATGGTATTATGAGTAGGTTAGGTCCCCCCCACCCAGTAGCACTTCCGCCATAGGTCCTAGCCACCCCGTCGCCCCCCCCGTACGTGCTGGCCCGTCCCCTAGTGGCTCGTCGACCTCCGCCGTCACCTCACTGGTCAGCGGCAGGACGGCCACTCCCTGGCCGTCCACATCGACGGTACGCTCCCCTGCCCAGACCCCCCTGCTGCTCTACCTGTTGACCCCACGTCTGCTGACCGAGAGTCCGCTGCCACGGCTGCCCTTGCCCGTGCTGTCTGGTTGTCGCATGACGCTGTCGCACAGCTCGCAATTAGTCATGCCCTCCCCCTGCCTGAGCGCCCCCACTTTAGGTGAGTCAGGACTGCGCAGGAGTTTCTAGAGGCTGTTGTCGCGCGCTATTCCACCCCGCCCTCTGCCTCCGTCGGTTGCCTGATCCTGCCCATGCACTTTCCTGATCTCGCGTCTTTCTCCACTGTCGCTGACCTGACCGCCCACTTGCGCACGCTAGATGCGACCTGGCGCGCTGCCTGTACCGAGGCCCAGCTTCATGTGTTTCAGCCTCCCATCTGCTCTACCCTCTATCTGCTTGCAACCCGCCTCCCTGACCGCCTTGCTACCGCCCGCGATCACTTTCTTAGTCTCCACCCCGCTGACCTCACCCTCACTGACTTTGTCGAGACCCTGTCTGCCATAGAGACTCATCAGCGCTCTATCGCCCAGTCTAGCTGCACTGTGCCGGTCACTATCTTTCAGGGCTGTACCCCCGCTCAGTGCACTTACTCTGCGGAGACAGTCATAGCGGCTGCCGCAACGCAGTTTTTTCCGGGTAAGGGTCGCCGCCCCAAGGCTGAGCGTGGCGGAGGTTGTGGAGGAGGGGGTGGAGGCGGTGGTGGAGGTGGTTCGCTCGCTGGTAGTACTGACGAGGGGGCTGGGACTGGTGCCTCGGGGCAGCATCCTCAGCAGCAGCAGGCACCGCTGCTAGACCAACAGAAGAAGCAGCAGCCGCAGCAGCGGCGGGTCTGCCGTCTCCCGCCCGGGTAGCCTGGCGTCGGTGGTGGACGTGGTCGTAGTGGAGGTACACGCAACGGGAAGTCGGGTGGTGGTCCGAGTGACGGGCGCTGCCAGTACCAGCTCCAGACCGGTCCTCGCCGTGGCCTCATGTGCGGCAAGACCGGCAATACCCCCACTCGTTGTTTCAGTCGCCTAGACGACCTGTTGCGTCTCCGCTTCTGTCACAGGATCGAATGTCCCGAGGAAAGGTTTGCTCAATGTTGCCCTATCAATCAGTACAAGGGGCTTTTATACTTCCAGATTACATCAGGTAACCAGGTTTATCCTATCCAAAGGGAATAGACCCTTCTAGAAATAGAATCACCCTGCGTATAGCCACGCGAGGCTATTGGCTTTAAGGGAATACGGCAGGATTACGCTAGATATAGCGCACCAGTACATCCCGAGCCTGGTCGATGATATAATTATAATAACAGGATAAACCAAAGGATAATGGAAAAGGAGGAATAGGAAACCAAATGAGATGAGGTAAAGACCAAATGAATCAGGATAAAAAGAGGAATGAAATAGAAAGGAAATATGGAAAGGGGAAAATAGTGTAACGGGGTCGTACTCTCACACTTCCCCCCCTCAAAGCTGGGTGGTAGAAGTAACACCTTGCTTGACAAGGTAGTCGCGAAGAGGACGACGGGCGTTACCCATGTCGAATTCAGAGACGAAGCCTCAGAAGTATCATAACCCTTCCAGCAAAGAAGAAGCTCCAGAGTGCCAGTCTGACGATGACGGTGTCCAAGTACGTAGTTGTCCCATGTCGTGGATGAACACGGGCGACGACAGTGGTTGGCATTCGGTATAGAGCGTGTTTGGTCTTGATAGGGTTTAAGAAGCTGGTATGGAAGGTGTTATGGATTTTCCAAGAGGCTGGTAGGCAGAAGCGGAAGTTGACTGAAGTGACCTTTGCTTCACGATGATAGACCTGCAGAAGCAAGGT